CCCCCCCCCCCCCCTCCCCCCCTCTCTCTGGGAGTAAGTTTAAATTTGATCTTGGCTCCGAGTGCGAAGACCAGGTTCATGGAGTTGCGGAATGTCGGTGGTACAAGGAGAGGGAAGTGTACGTGACTGAGCTGGGGAAAGTAGAAGGACGATACAGGGCGATGTTTGACGCAAGGAATAGCAAGTTGAGGCATGGAATAGCCTGGAAAAGACGATAGCTGCACTGGGGCATAGGAAGTGGGTTGAAAGACGGGAAGAGATATCGATAGGATAGATAGACTAGGTACGACATGTAAGCCACCTTTGGCAAAGTAGGAAGGAACGATTGGCCATCGGGGATCTTCGGTCCTGTGGCTCCGTCCTCTCGAGGACGCGTGGTCAATCGTCTAGCCGCTAAGGCATGCAAAACGTAAGAGTTCACCCCCTTCCCTCTTTGAGAGTGATATGGGAGTTCGGTTCTTTGCCCCTCCCGGGGATGACGGAAGATTGCTCTGTCGAGCACCTTACTGTCCAACATGTGGATGCGACAAAATATGTTGTGCGTACAGGGTACAGCGTACAGTTAAATGCCCGGCTTGCACAGAGAAAAAACGAAGACCATTCACGGCGTCAAATCCGCGTCCTTGCGGTGGTAGGCGCACATATATCAAAATTGGTACTGTCGATAAGGCTCTCAGCATTTTCCCTGATTGTGTGTGCGTGCATGCAATGACTCACTCTCTGGTATGTGCGTGAGAGGGTTTGCCTGGAGGCAAGCGGCTTCTATGCATGCCTGGCCGAGACAGACAATACGTCGAGGAAGATTCATGGAAATACCGTGGTGGGGTTGTATGCGACGCCCTTTCGTTCGAAACGTGCGCGTCCCTCCGAACAGCAGGATTCTGAAGCCGGGGGATTGAGTTTCTGCCCGAACACATCCGGCTGAGGCTGTTTCTTACGCTGTTTTACTCTCCATCTATTTCTCTCTCTGGGAAGGATCTGTAAGGGCAATAATTTGCAGATCCAGATCCGATCGATCTTCTTGCGACCCATCGAGGCATTTTTTTCCCAGTGCAGAAGAAGGTCGATTCAAGTTCCTTCTGGATCACTTACTGCTTCAGTTTACGTGTTTGTGAATATGATCGGCCTAGGCCTCTGTCTGGCATGTCGTTGTTTGTTGTTGTTGTTATTGTTGGTGTCTGGCATGTCGTTGTTTGTTGTTGTTGTTATTGTTGGCAACAATAACAACAACAACAACAATAACAACGACATGCCAGACAGAGGCCTAGGCCGATCATATTCACAAACACGCAAACTGAAGCAGCAACAACAACAACAACAGCAACAAGAAGCAACCCGAAAAAAGGAGGTAACCGTCCAAAAACTCAACGTCGAAACACACTTCTGTTTACGTTTGCAGGCCGCCGTGTGGACAGAGGAGCAGGGCGACACCTTGTTCAAACTCGGGGTGGGCGCCGACGAGGCAGGGAGGACGCTGGAGGCCGAGGAATTGTATCGACGAGCGCTCAAGATTCAGGAACATAAGCTAGGCGACGATCATCCGGACGTGGCAAGCACCCTGCACAACCTTGGGACGTGCGCGTACGAGGCAAGGAGGACTGGGGAGGCCGAGGGCTTGTATCGACGAGCGCTCAAGATCCAGGAAGAAAAATTCGGTGACAATCATCCGGACGTGGCAACCACCCTGTATGACCTCGGGAAGTGTGCTTACAAGGCAAGGAGGGTGGGGGAGGCCGAAGAATTGTTGGGCCGTGCGCTCAAGATTTGGGAAGAGAAGCTAGGCGACCATCAGCTGAAGGTGGTAAGCACGCTGTGCAGCCTCGGGAGGTACGCTCATGAGGCAGGGAGGACGGAGGAGGCCGAGAAATTATATCGACGAGCGCTCGAGATTCATGAGAATAAGGGCGACGATCATCCGAAGGTGGCAAACACGTTGCACAGCCTTGGGACGTGTGCTTACGAGGCAGGCAGGCTGGAGGAGGCCGGGGAGTTTTATCGACGAGCGCTCCAAATCCGGGAAGAGAAGCTGGGTGACGATCATCCGGACGTGGCGAGCACCCTGCACAACCTCGGCAAATGCGTTTGCGAGGCAGGGAGGATAGAGGAGGCCGAGGGGTATCATCGCCGAACGCTCGAGATTCAGCAAAATAAGCTGGGCGACAGACATCATCCGGACGTGGCAACCACCCTACACAACCTCGGCAAGTGCGCGTATAGGGCAGGGAGGACGGAAGAGGCCGAGGTGTTCTATCGACGAGCGCTCAGGATTCGGGAAAAACGGCTGGGCGACAATCATCCCAAGGTGGCACGCACCCTGCACAACCTCGGGACGTGCGCTTACGAGGCAGGGAGAGCGGAGGAGGCCGAGGCATTCTATCGAAGAGTGCTCAAGATCGAGGAAGAAAGGCTGGGCGACGATCACCCGGCCGTGGCAACCACCCTACACAACCTCGGGATGTGCGCTCGCGTGGGGGGGAGGACGGGGGAGGCCGAGAACCTGTATCGACGAGCGCTCAAAATTGAGGAAGAGACACTGGGCGACGATCACCCGAAGGTGGTACGCACCCTGCAGATGCTCGGGAAGTGTGCTCACGAGGCAGGGAGGGCGGAGGAGGCCGAGGTATTATATCGAAGAGTGCTCAAGATTGAGGAACACAAGCTGGGGGGCGATCATCCGGCCGTGGCAAGCACCCTGAATACCCTCGGGACGTGCGCGTACGAGGCAGGGCAGACGCAGGAGGCTGAGGTATTCTATCGACGAGCGCTCAAGATTCAGGACGAGAAGCTGGGTGACGATCATCTGGAAGTGGCAAACACCCTGCAAAACCTCGGCAAGTGCGCTTACCAAGCAGGGAGGACGGAGGAGGCCGAAGTATTCTATCTACGAGTGCTCAACCTTCAGGAAAAACAACAGCGCGGCAATAATCCGGACATGGCAATCACCCTGCACAACCTCGGAAAGTGCGCTTGCAAGGCAGGAAGGACGGAAGAGGCCGAGGAGTTGTATCGGCGAGCGCTCACGATTTGGGAAGACAAGCTGGGAAACGATCATCCGGACATGGCAACCACCCTGCGCACCCTCGCCAAGTGCGCTTGCAAGGCAGGGAGGACGGAGGAGGCGGAGGTTTTCTATCGAAGAGTGCTTAAGATTGAGGAAGCAAAGCTGGGCAACGATCATCCAACGGTGGCAAGCACCCTGCACACCCTCGGGAGGTGCGCTTGCGAGGCAGGGAGGACGCGGGAGGCCGAGGCATTCTATCGACGAGCACTCAAGATTTGGCAAGAAAAGCTAGGCAACGATCATCCGAAGGTGGCGAGCACGTTGTACAACCTTGGAACGTATGCTTACGAGGCAGGGAGGACGGAGGAGGCCGAGAAGTTATATCGAAGAGCGCTCAAGATTGAGGAAGCAAAGCTGGGCCACCATCATCCGGACGTGGCAAGCATCTTATACATGCTCGGGACGTGTGCTTACGAGGCAGGGAGGATGGGGGAGGCCGAGGAATTGTATCGAACAGCACTCAAGATTTGGGAAGAAAAGGGCAACGATCATGCGAAGGTGGCAAGCACGTTGTGCAACCTTGGTACGTGCCTTTTCGAGGCAGGGAGGATGGAGGAGGCCGAGGAGTTATTTCGACGAGTGCTCAAGATTGCGGAGAAGCAGGGCAACAATCATCCGGATTTGGCAAGCACCTTACACATACTCGGAACGTGCGCTTACAAGGCAGGGAGGGCAGAGGAGGCCGTGGAATTGTATCAGCGCGCGCTCAAGATTCGGGAAGAGAAGCTGGGCGACGATCATCCCGACGTGGCAAGCACCCGGTACAGTCTCGGCAAGTGCGCTAAATTGCGTGGCAGCGAGATAGGGAGAGGTCTAGAACTGTATCGGTGAGCGCCCAAGATGTGTTTGGGGATAAGCTAGGCCACGATGATCCGGACGTGGCGAGCACCTTCTTCAACGTCGGGGGTTGAGCTTGCGAGGTAGTGGGGATGGCGTCGGGGGTCGTGGAATCGTATCGGCGAGCGCTCACCAAAGACCACAGGAGGCCGAGGAGATTCTTAAACCAACACTCGCAACGGTCATTACATAGTCGATCTTATCGTCGGTAGAGGAAATAAACGGGGACGTGGTCATTTCGGTTCCAACCTTGGCTGGGTGAGTGAGTGGATCTGCCCCCCGGTTGTCTATCGCACCTTACAAGTTTAGTAGGAGGGAAAGGACGGGGGGTGTTAAGTCCGCCGAAGTAGGTTTTGGTGAAATGCAGGACCAACACCACCCAGAGCATCAGATTGCTTATTGAAGTTCCCCTGAGTTCCGCCCCCTAAACCGGTTTAAGCCGAATGTTGGCGCGTGTGTTTTGTGTATGTGTGCTGGAAGGAGCATGGTGTGATAATCAGGATTGTATGTCATCTCCATTGGTCCTGAGATAACACAGTCTCCAGATGCAACCCATGCTACCTGTGGAGGGCACGGTAGCCTCCGTGGAAAGTTACGGAGGCAGCCAACAGACGACTATGACGAAGAACGAACGTTTCATTGAATGTATGACTGGCGTGGTCGTCGATTTATTTGAAAAAAGGTGGTGTCGTTCCCCATCAGAGCTACTTATTTGGGAATTATACAATATCTATCTCAAAGAGTGGATAATGGTTGGCAGAGGTTAGGCCGGGTCGTGCCGAGGAAGTTTTTGTGAAGGACAAGACGCCATCAGACCCTCTCTGTCAAACAACACAAACCTCGCGATAACAGCATTAGCACCCATTGACGTTTTTCCGGTGTGTACTCTACACTATCGACACAAGATGGGACTTGTACCCCGACCCATTTCGGGGCAGGAAATCAGAATAAGACAACACCAGCAAGTTTGTCTACCGAAGAGGCCTCGAAATCTCTAAGGAGCTTATGCCAATGCCTAGCGTCGAACGATTCGGAGCCTTACCGGGCGCCGTTGGCAGCACAATGCCAATGGGCAGCATCAACGTCGATTTGAAAAGTGTGTCTGAATGTGAGGCTGTTTTAGATCAAGGGTTATCCACTAGCTGACTCATCCACTATGCTACTCAGTCAGCTAGTGGATAAGCCTTTATCTCACAAAAGATACACTACTAGGCTCTGAGCCTCCCAGCTGGATCATTGGGTGGTAGGGAACTCCGCGGCCGGACCCCTCGCCACGCGCTGTAGACGAAGTAGTGAGGGTGCTTCAAAAGTGATTCGCCCGCTGACTGAGTAGCATAGTGGAAGTCTTTATCTGACATTGATACACGCACGGGCTCGAATCCAGGCTGGATTACTTTTGAAGCACTATATTACTCTATCAGCAGCGCGTGGCGAGGGGTCCGGCGCCAGAGATCCCTATTACCCAATGATCCAGCTGAGAGGCTAAGAGCCTACGAGCATATCTTTTGTTAGATAAAGGCTTATCCACTAGACTATGCTACTCAGTCATCTAAGTCTTTATCTAACAGGCTTATTATCAGGGAACACGGCGGGAATTTTCCCGCCGTCATTTAGGCGGGAATTTAGGCGGATCCGGTACTGGCGGGACGTACCGCCATAATTCGCGGGTACCGGATCCGCCGAAGGCGTTCCCGCCGAAAAAACGAAAACCGCTTCCCGCCTAAAAATTCCCGCCATATTGCAAACCGCCGAAATTGTTACCGCCGTATTATTGTGTTCCCGGATCCGCCCAAAAAAAACCGCCATATTGTAGTGCCGCCAAAACGGTACCGCCATTTTGCAGTACCGCCAAAACGGTACCGGCATTCTGCAGTACCGCCGAAATGGCACCGTTAGAGGCCCGGTTAGTCAAATTGTTATTTACTAATTTCTTCATAGGCGAAGATCCCGAGTTCGATCCTCGCCCATTGCCTTTCTTTTTTCTTTTTCTTTTTTTCTGTTTGTCTTTGTTCTTTTTTTTTCGGTTCGAATGTGGGTATAAGTGCCTCTTCGGTAGAACCTGTTTTGGTCACACACCTGCTCACAGCGTGCGTTTGGTCCAGCAAAGCAATACAACAACACAACAATACAACAATGAGCGCTTCAGAGGCCAGCAGTGGCAGTGCTACTCCTAGTAGTGGTGTAGAGACGGGGTCTGCCGACTCAGTGGTGCCTTCTTCGGACACCACAGTGGATGTGGAAGGCTCGGTGACTGCGAGCAAAAACCCGGAGGCACGAGCTATGGCCGCCAATAGCGTAGAGAAATCCGCGGTTGCACAGGAGGAGAGAGCGAACACGGCGATTGACGTCTCCTTGTGGACTAGGATAGCCGAGAGTGTAGAGTAGCCCACGGCCGTGCAAGAGGGGTGCCCCTACTGAGTGTGGGTGGTTGTGGTTTTGTTGTTTTGTTCGGTGTCCGTTCATCGTAGTACAAGTATGTATTTTGTCTTTTCTGTGTTTTTCGTCGTTCATGCTTTCTTGTGGCAGTGACTTGTGTCTTTTGCCTTTTGTCTTGTCTCTTGTCTCGTCTTTTTTCTTAGCTTCTGGTCTTTTGTGTTTTGTCTTCTCCAGCTGGTCTTCTCAATACTTTTTCTTTTGTGATCTACAAAATCACAATCCATCATCTTCGTTGTGTGCACAGGCGCATGTAGGTGAAATAAGAGAGAAGGCTTGCTGTTCGTTCAGCCGCCACAGAAATGTATCATATATCCCGATATATGAATGTATATCTATAATATAGCTAGGGCCGAAGGCGTTCCCGCCATAATGCGAACCGCCGGTGAAGGGTACCGCCGGATTTTGGTGGTACCGGTACCGCCGAAGGCGTTCCCGCCGTACTGCAAACCGCCGTGGAAAGTACCGCCATATTTCGCGGGTACCGGATCCGCCAAAGGCGTTCCCGCCGTACTGCGAACCGCCGTGGAAAGTACCGCCATAAGTCACGGGTACCGGATCCGTNAGGGCCGAAGGCGTTCCCGCCATAATGCGAACCGCCGGTGAAGGGTACCGCCGGATTTTGGTGGTACCGGTACCGCCGTAGGCGTTCCCGCCGTGCTGCAAACCGCCGTGGAAAGTACCGCCATATTTCGCGGGTACCGGATCCGCCAAAGGCGTTCCCGCCGAAAAAACGAAAACCGCTTCCCGCCTAAAAATTCCCGCCATATTTCGGTTCCGCCTAAAATGGTACCGCCTAAAAAAACGGTGCCGCCGTGTACCCTGGATATTAGCCCCCTCGAGAACACAGCACCGGCGGCGGATGGTAGCGGAAGTATATAACCAGACTCAGACATCGCGGGGGCAGTAGGCGAGGGGTCGACGAAGATCCCGGCTTGTTTATCAGTAGTTCGAGGACAAGGGTAGGGAGTGGCAACGAGCGAGGATCGGGCGGCGGGAGAGAGGGCATCAAGATGCCGAGACCGAAGACTGCAAACGCAACTCTGGGGCGGGAGCATGCTCTATATTTCACTGGCGTTAGAGGAGGTGCTCAACTTCAGGGTTGTCGGGGGTGGGGAAGGGGCGTAGTGTGCCATAGGATGAGTCATGCAAGCTGCAGCGGCATCTCCCTTTGAAATACGTGAACCTCAACGTTGCGCATGGAGCTCAAAAATCTTCTTTGTTAGCTATGACTCCTGCCGGCGAGTATTTCTTGGTGGTTCCCTGAATGGTACTCGTTTTCACAAGGAATCGGGTCGGCAACGAACACCCATCAGCACATGCGCCACCCGCCCACCGCCTGTCTACCCCCTGCCGTATCGCCCTTGGGTCAAACGCTTTTAGTCATGTGTTGGCCTGAATCGTTGCGGTGGATGCACTTCATGGATTTCTTCACGTTGGGGCCGGGGGTCGTAGCTCTGGCCTAGTCAACGATGGGGGGACAAGAGCTTCGCCGATTGGTATTTAGTAGATTCTCGCGGATTGTTGCCCGCTTTGAGAATCGTTTCGCGTGTGGTACTGTTGCGTCATTGAGCTGCCTCGGGAGGTCAAACAGCAGTTGGGGTCAAGCAAATGTGCCTCAAACGCCGGTAGACGTATGCTAGAGGAGAACTTGGCCTCGACGAAACCAGCAAAGCACTGCTGCTGTCGCCTCTAGCGTTGACGCATGAAAACAAATTAACAGGTGCCGGAACGAACGCGACAACTTGAACACAAGAAAGAAATGACGGAGGAAATATCTCTTGTTTTCCCAGCACGGAACCCTAGGTTCTCTTACATCCCGTCAGGGAGTCGTACCTTCATTAAAGGTACAGATACGTAGCCTTAGTATCTAAGGTCGATTAAGCCGCCACCTGAGTCGCCCTCCGGCAATAGACAATCAACACTGCCTTGACTGAGATGAAGACTGTTTGCGGCCTACGCCACTTATTTATCGGGTGAGACTGTTTTGGTGATGTATTAACTTCACGAGAGGTCGACGACCGTCCCTCACACGGACGAAAGAGGGAGTGCCCCACATGGGCAGCTCCTACACCAAGGAGGGGCCCCGTGTCTCATCGCGGTGCCCCCTACCTAACGGCAATCTTACCGATCTGCGTGACACCAAAATCATACAGCACATGTATCCAACACCAATGTTCGCAGACCCACCAACAAAGACAAGACTCTCGAGGCCTTCGCTTGCGTGATCCACCCGTCCACAGATGCCCGTGCCTGTCCATTCCACGATGCGACAGCTCAACACATCAATCTCAGATTTGTAGCAAAGGCCTTGTGGGTAGGCCACCACGATCAAGCGAAAACGGTTCGTTTCGCGCGCTGGTCCCGGAGGTAGGAGTACCAGTGTGAGCTCTGCCGGGACTCCAGGATTCGTGGATAGTTACAGTAGATCCACCCTTCAGCGGCGGATTTCCCCTGCAAATCAAAACAACAGCGACAAGAGACACCGTCGGTTGTACAATATGCTTCGGCGTCACGCCCGACAGCGGTTTCCAACGTAGAGTCGAAAATAAACGTGGCCCTGCTTTTTACTCACACCACA